CAATGTCTCAGTTACAGAGCGCTCAACATGTCCAAGGCATATCATGGAAATTATTCCACCATGAAGACCACCCTTCCCTACCTTCATGGACTCAGCTTCCTAATGAGAACACACATGAAGCACAGTTCAGACAGACAAAAGCATTCTCTTCGTAGCAACTAAGTAGCCAAAAGGGCAAGGAAGAGAGGTAAAATACATCATAGCCAGGCCAGCAGAATCCCCTGGTCTTAATCATTACGTATGATGCTTTCAAATGGGTTATTAGTACCTTAATTTTGAGGCAAAAGAGTGGAAGGAACCAGCCAATGCTTTTGCATGCTTAGTTTCTGCCTATGACACTGAACTCAAGAGAACTGAGACCTTTAGAGAAACCAAACATTTTCAAATGACTTGTGAGAATAAATTAACTCAGTGCTTCTCGCTGAGGAGTTGAAGTTTCTTAATTGTAAAGCAGAACCAGCAGCCACCAACATAGAAGGCCTACCCCACAGATGGAAAAGAGATAAAGCACTGAAACAGCTTAAGGGGCCTCTCCAGCCCTGGGGCACAGGGCAGTGGGGCTACTTCAGGATCAGCAAAGCAAGATCTCATCACCAAACCAGCTTCAGCGTAGCTGGCTTATTAACATCTGGAGATCTGGGCACACTCTTCCAGGCCTGGAGACCAGAGGAAAAGGGATGCAGGGAGAGGGGTGGTCCCCAAGGCACGGGGAGTCTACGTTGTTGCCCCTGGAGAGGCCACTTCCCTCCCAAGATGCCTGGGATTTTCCAGTTCAGCAGGGGAAGGTAACTCAGCACATAGCAAAACAACGAGGGCACAGAACAGATGACCTCCCTGCATAGTTTTGGATCAGAAACCCAGCAGGGCAGATGTGCCCCTTCCCTAACAGAGGGAGAGCTAGACCCAGCCCCAGCACAGCTTTCCCTCTGAAAAGCTGAGACCAGACCATGAAGTCTCCAGGGGCTGCAATAGGACATCAGAGCTGAGGTTGTGAGGGCCAGGACAGAGACTGGATCAGGCTGGGGACTGCCCAGAGTGTTCGTCTCAGGCCTGGCTGCCCCCCAGACCAGCTAGCCCTTTCCAAGTAGACATACCACGTGTCTCTAGCGGTCTCTCTCCAAGTAATACCACCACTTTTCCCCAAGCAAAGACATTTCCCAGAGCCTTACAGGCCTAGTATCTGCTCAGTGGGACTCAACCACGGAAGAAGCTGTTAAATAACCCACTGTTTCAGTTTACAGACTTCTTATAACTTAGTGACAAGTGAAACTACATTCTGACAGCAACTGCAAGTTCCCTAGCACCCAGTGACTTCTCTTTTTCTTGGGACACTCCCTCCCGCTAAATCAAAGAACCAACCTAACCCTCTACCCACTGGAATAAAGACAGAGTGCAGCACCACATTTTAACCTTTGAGATGTGGACAACAACTTTTCTCCTGAGAGCTTAGGACCAAATGGAAGTTACTTTTTCCCCATCACCTCAAATGTACTGATGGACTTTCTGAACTGGACTCCACCAACATGTAGGAGAGAAATCATGGGCAGTAATTCTAAGGGGCACAGACGGGACTGGCCAGCCCTAGATAAGGGTAAAGGAAGCAAAGCTACCCTTGGTTTCCCTTCTTTCTCCCCAGATATTCCCATTTGTCAGTCCTCTCGGTCTCAGCTGGCAGTCACTTCAAATCACTGATGGTGCAATCCAGCAGGTGACGTTATTAGTTAATAAATGCTGATAGCATGGCCTTTCCTGGTCATTTGTACATGTTAAAATACGAGGGATGAACTCTCCAAGGGGAAAATCCGTTAAGATCCAAAAGAAGAAAGCTATCATGGTGGAGTTACAGATGTTGCATTAATGCTTTGGAGCAAAGGAGAGACCTTTTCTCTCATAAATGGCAGCCCAAGACCATGATACTAAACCAATAAAGACCCTAGAAGCTAGCAACATGCAAGGGGGCAGACAGCGGCCTCCAACCTCCCCACATGCATGCATTCCCACCCCTACACAGTTTGCCCTTTTTTGGCAGCCAGAAGCACAAGACCTGGGATTGACTCAGGTCCCCTCACCCTCAAGGGCCACTTTAAAGATTGTGAATAATGATGATGACCATGGACAGGGAAAGCTGCAAGCTTCTGTCATAAAAACACTTAGCAGAAAGTCTTGAGAACAGTGTAGGAACAAGACATAAGCTGGGCTCATTATCTAAGCTGACAGACCAGGTTTGGGGATTTTAAGGTTCTCCAAAAGAAAGGGAATGACGTTTTTTTCTTCACCTCCCACTTACTTTCAACAAAACACAGAGTCTCATTTCTTCATAGTGAAAATGCCTGGAAGACCACCTGACCACTGGCCCAGTGGTCTGGCTCATGCAGAGCTCCCTTATAGGCAAGACACCACGTGGACTTACTGACAGCTGAGCTGGAAGAGTTCTTCAAGGCAGAGACCATGAGCCAAGGAATGTTACAAGAAGCAAGTGTTAATTGCAGGATTACTATGCTCCAGGGATTTTTCACACTTCATCTCCTTTGTTCTTCACCACAGTGATCGGGGAAGAAATGTTATTATCTCAATTTTATAGACGAGCAACCAATAGCACAGATCATTGAGGTAACAGCCAGGGTCAAACAGCAAGTGGCAGAGCTGGGCTCTAAACCCAAGCTGTGTGAACACAAGAGCCTGTGCTCTCCCATGTGCCTGCCCATAGAGAATTGCCTAGATGGCATCCAGACAATAGGAAATTATATTGTATGGCTATTTGCATATGAGTGTGTGTACATGTACAAAATATACAAACCAATAATGTAAATACAGAGGTGAGTACCCAGGTAGCCAAGAAAGCCTTACAATAAAATCTTACCCAGATTAGGGTAGCAGAGGATTTAGCTAAAAACCCTGTGGGTCAGGGGCTACTTCTGGGGAGAGGAGCTAGAAAGTGAGGAGACTGACTTTTTTTTTCCTTTTTGAGGAGGGGGGAAGTAATCAGGTTTTTTAAATTTTTATTTGTCTTTAATGGAGGTACTAGGGATTGAACCCAGGACATGGTGTATGCTAGGCATGCACTCTACCACTGAGCTACACTCTCCCCCTGGAAGGAGACTTACGTTTCCCTATATGCCCTGATGTTCTGTTTGAACTTTTTTTTCGTGCACATGTACTTCCCATTTTAAAAACTTTTAATTAAAAAGAAAAATCTGTATGTTGTTGTGTCACTAAGTATTTGAAATTTACTGAGTCGTATTTTCTAAAAAATAGAAATGTGAGAAGCAAGCAGTCCAACATTACAAAGGCCTATCGCAATCATCGCAGGGGAGCCAAGCAAGGTGGCTTCATTCAGTGCAGGAGACTTGGCTAGGAGTATCTGAGTTGCTCGAGAACCAAGAGCACCTAAAAGTGAAACCATTCAGCCACTCTCTCCCATTTTCCGTTTTCAAACTCAAAACCCCACTACCACCCTACCACTGCAGGACGGGCCTTTCTGTTTAGAAAGTCAGTGAAAGAATGGATGACCTCACTTTCCCCAACAGGCGGGTCTGAAATGTTGTGTGCAAAACAAAACTTGAGTAAATCGATTCATATTTTAAATACTCCAGCAGAGGTCTTTGTTTTAGCAATCCTGACAAGATCCTCTTTGCAAAGCAAAGAAGCTGATTGTGATGTTAACACTGTGTTTTGTAAATAAAAACAGTTTTGGTTTTTTTTTTTCTTTTGGTAACCTACAAGAGTCCTAGTTTCAGCCTGGAACCAATCTTCTGAGCTTTCTGGGTGTTCTGGGAGACTGGTGGGGCAGCCTGGTATAGAGCCCATTTGCATGAAACCAAGGACCCTCCTGCAAGTGATATCATTGTAAGAGCCGAGGGAGACTGTACAAGCTCAACCCAGTAAGGAAGCTGGGGCATTGGAGGGGAAGTGTGATTCTGAACCTAGAGCCCTGTTCTATCAGTATATTCCTTCTCAGCTGCCTCTGGACTCAAATCAAGTCGTACAGCAGGAGTGAACTATGAACACAAGCTCTAGGAAATGCCACAAGGTCCTCCTTTGACATCCCACCAAAGAGGTGAGTAGTATTCTCCCCACTTCTGCCCTGAACCCAGTCTGTGGCAGTAAATTGAGGGCTCCCGCAGACCTAGAACCTGCCCAAGGTCCTCAGGGCTCCCCAGTGGGAGCAGGATCACCACATTGCCAGTAGTGAGGATGGCACCAGCAGCACAAGACAACCCCTTTGGCACAGAGATCAAAGTCTTCACCGGGATGATGAAGGCCATAAGGGAGTAAGCAGGGCTGTCACTGACCTGGGCAAAGTGGGCTGGAGCAGATGAGGAGGAAACTGGCAGATGCCACGTGGTGGCACAAAGGAGTCATTTATGTGTGTACTCACTCTGCACCTGGAGACTCCTAGAGATAACTGCACAAGCTGTGGGGGCAGATAGGCGGTTCTGCAACAGCTGTCACCACCAGAGCCAGAAAAGAAAAGTACTGCGGATGGCTCCTAGTATCTTATTTGGAACCCTAGGCTGGTGGGCTGTGGGGCAGTCTGAGGAAACTCAGGTCAGAACATCTTGGGTTTTTTACAAATATGAGTAAACTGGAATACTAAATCCTAGCTTGCTAATCTGGTAATTAAAGGGTTTTTTAAATCATATCAGCCTTAGCTTTTCCCCACCCTCTACCCCTGTAAAACTTCGTGCATGATTTCAGCTTTACTCTCCTCAAGACATGCCAGTGTGCTGAGTCACTAAAAAAAAAAAAAAGGAAAAAGGAAAAAAAACGAGAGAGAGTGGGGAAAAAAAGAAAAAAACAGAAAGTAAAGGAAGAGTGATCCCGCTTCTGAGGGCTATAGCCTTGGTAATGACCTAAGCGGCCCTTTTCCCCCTGGTTGTGATTCCTGTGATGCTAAAGGACGTCACATTGCACAATCTTAATAAGGTTTCCAATCAGCCCCACCCGCTCTGGCCCCACCCCCACCCTCCAACAAAGATTTATCAAATGTGGGATTTTCCCATGAGTCTCAATATTAGAATCTCAACCCCCAATAAATATGAGACTGGGGATGCCTGAGGCTCAGTCTGTCCTCGAGCCCACCAAGAACGAAAGAGAGCTCCATCTGCCCTCCAGGAACTCAGCTATGAACTCGCTCTCCACAAGTAAGTGAAGGAAATCCCTAGCCCTGGAACTGCCTAGCAGCCGAGCCTGAGCGAGGGAGGGGGTGTGTATCCGCTGCGAGGGCTGGCGGGCGGCCAGCAGCCAGAAGCACAGCTCCCCCAGCGGTGCAGTCTGCTCACTGGCTGCTCTCCCTTCCCTCCGGCACAGGCGCCTTCAGTCCAGTTGCCTTCTCCCTGGGGCTGCTCCTGGTGATGGCTACTGCTTTCCCTACCCCGGTACCCCTGGGAGAAGATTTCAAAGATGGTACCACCTCAAACAGACCATTCACCTCTCCAGACAAAACTGAAGAACTTATTAAGTACATCCTCGGCAGAATCTCTGCAATGAGAAAGGAGGTGGGTAGCTCGCCTGAGGGTGACGTAGGGCCAGCTTGGGTGTTCATCTCCTTGCCTTGGCTGTGGAAAGGGGAGCTTCTGCATTGGGAGGGCTTTGCTGGGTTCTGGGGCAGTTTAGGTTTGAAGCCAAAGGGGCAGACTGTGTTCTATAATTTCTCATCTGCTGCTGGTCTCAGGTGGTTCCTTTCCCCAGTTTCTCAGTTCCGTACTTGGCATGAGCTGGGGGGTCAGGATTTCCTTTTCCCTCATCCAAAAAATAGGGTCTGTCAATCTTCTTTGTGTTCCTTGGACTTTGGGAGGATTAAAAAGTGCCACCTGAAATGACTGTTCAGCTTCTCAGGACACAGTACTTTTAGGTTACATAAGCTCAGTGGTTAGGGACTCCCCAAAGTCATTCCGGCATATAAGGTGCATACCTGCTAGCCCACCGAAATGGCAAAGTCGTAAGCAGCTCCTTAAATGTAAGATAGTTTGGCTCTGTTAGCTAGAAAGGAAAGAATACAGGAGAGCGTATTGGAAGCCCCAAATCTAGTCCTGGCTTCGCTGAACCAGCTTTATGCTCTTGAGCAAATTCCCTACCACCTCTGGTCTTCACCTGTATAATTATGAAATTGAACTAGATGATCTGAAAGCTGGGGCATTCTATGGCTCAAATTATATTCACCCAATTATCATCAAAATTGCTGTAATTTATTAAGTACCTACTATGTGTCAGGCACATTATATAAATTATGTCTTATCTTCACAATAAATTTACAAGGGAAGTGTCTCCTTATCCTCAATTTGGAGACACAGGACTTTGAGACTCAGAATAGGCAACAAGCCTGAAGTCACAGGTGAGGCTAGAATTGAACCCAAATTTGCCCGTCTCCACTAGACCTTGCTTGCCTGGATGCTAGTGGGTTGTGGCTTCACTTTTCTTAGAGAACTTCCCGGTTATGACAGACCATGAATCAGCCCTCTAGTGGTGTTGGCCTTAGGGGCACTTATATGATAACAGTTCTGATATTCTTTCCCAGATGTGTGAAAAGTATGACAAGTGTGAAAACAGCAAGGAGGCACTGTCAGAAAACAACCTGAACCTTCCGAAAATGACAGAAAAAGACGGATGCTTCCAATCTGGGTTCAATCAGGTACAAATGCATCACATTCACTTCTAGCTACTCCCTAGTCAAAAGTTCTGCCTCTTGCATGCAGCGTCTGTACACATATAGACCAGGCAGGCAACAAAGAGGGGGATAAATGTAAAGAACATCATGTAAATTTTCATGAGGAGGCCAACTTAAGTGTTATTAAAGGCAACTTTTTTTTTATTGAAGTATAGTCAATTTACAGTGTTGTGTTAGTTTCTGGTTTACAGCAGTGATTCAGTTATACATATATATGCACATATATATTCCTTTTCATATTTTTCCTTATAGGCTTTTACAAGATATTAGATATAGTCCCCTGTGCTACACAGTAGGACCTTGTTGTTTATCTATTTTATATACAGTAGTTAGTAAAGGCAACTTCTTTTTGAATGACATGGTCAGAGATAGTTCCTCTGTGTTGGGATTTTCACAACTGTCAGATGTTAGGCAATGTCACAGTTCATCCTGGGTAATGTGGTCCAGGGTCCTTTCTCCTCCTTCACTGCCCTTAGCAGGATCCACTCCTGTCCTCCCTGCTGAGGTCTTTACATTCTTTACATCCTTCTCCTTCCCGACAGTGAGATAACCTGCACTGACTTCTGATTATTTCATAAAAGGAGGTTTCAGCCCAACATTGACAAGGGCAGGAGGGCAGCCAGAAGGAAGAGCATTAAAGAGGGGATCAGAGGAAGACCCCTTGCCTCGATCTAGCATTTGTTGGGCTTTGGATAAAATTAAGTGATGTCTCTGATTGTCCGGATATTTAAATGGGATAGCAGATGCTGTCTGATGTCTTGAAACATGATGCCTAAGAAGTTCTTGAAGTTCCCTGGAGGAGCAGTGGGAGAAGTTATTGAATTATAGCAATTTTAACTTTTAAAACTGATTATGTCTTCCTAGCAGTAACCAATTTTCCCATGATCTTTCCTCTTAGGAGACCTGCCTGATGAGAATCACCATTGGTCTTCTGGAGTTTCAGATATACCTGGACTACCTCCAGAACTATTATGAGGGTGATAAAGGAAACACTGAGGCTGTGCAAATCAGTACCAAAGCATTGATCCAGCTCCTGAGGCAAAAAGTGAGTGTCTCCTCATCCTCTCATTAGGCTCAAAGAAGGCAGCCTAGACAACACAGGAGTGCAAAGCCAATTCAGAAGAGATGGCCACATGCAAAGGAAAGGATCTGAGAAATGTTTCCTGACATTTAAAACTATTTTTTTCTTCATCTCTTCTGCAAGACATCAACTATATTTAAAACTCTTTTAAATGAAGTGGATTTTTAACATCAACTTCTAAAAACTTAAGAAATAAGAAAAAAAAAAGTATCTGTAGAGGCAGAAGGAAGCCATTCCAACCCTGCTCTGTGATCCATAATAACAAAAAACAGAGAGCACAAAAATTATTTTAATATTGCCAAATGACATGCTTGCTATTATGGTAATTTCAGCTTCTTTCCCTTACTCTTTTGCTGGAAGGGTTAATGCAGAGAAATGGCTAAAGCCTGGAAGAGCAGGTACCAAGGGCTCTGGTCACTACCAGCTAGTCATTCAAATGCCACGTGATGGAGGCTTGATGGCACAGTGTGTGGATGAGCCGAAGAGCAAAGAGAAGGGCCCTGGATGGAGAAGCAAGCACATGGGTGCTAATCCTGCCCCTGCCTTTCCTAGCTGTTTGCCTTAAACCAGGGCTTCTCCCATTTAACGTGCACAGGAGTTCCCCTGAGGGATCCTGTTACAATGTGGAGTCTGATTCAGCAGGTCTGGGGTGAGACCTGAGACTCACATTTCTAACAAGCTCCCAGTGATGCAGAGGCTGTACTGCTGCAGGATCACACGGAGGTGCAAGGCCTTCCACAATTACTTAGCCCCATGTCAGCGGGTCTATAGAAAGATGTTTCCCAGTCCTCCTTACACCATCAGAGCAGAGGATTCTTAACAGATACTGGATGGATGGGTGAGAGTGAAACCAGAGAAAAGTATTAGGGTTAGAGATCCCTGAAGAACCCATTAGAATGCCTCTAACTAAAACTTCTTCATTTATCGATTGAATTCCAACTATGTGCCAGGCATAACAGAAGACAAGTAAGATACTATGGCTGCCCATGGGATGCTTATGGTTTAACAGAGACAGACAGCAAAGGAATGATTAGAGCTCGGTTGCTGTGAGAGGGCTCCATGTTGGGTGGGCTCAGAGGAAAGGCACCTGGCCCTGTCTGGGGGAGTCACAGCAGATGGCCCCAATTCACTCCTTCACCCCCAGTTTGAACATCTCCCTGCAGACCAGAGCATCCTTCCACTTCAAAGGATTTGTCTGATAGTTAAAAAATTATTTTTGTTTTCTTTTCCTCCAGGTAAAGCAACCAGAAGAAGTAAGCACCCCTAACCCAATCACAGGCTCCAGCCTGCTGAATAAACTGCAGACTGAGAACCAGTGGATGAAGAATACAAAAATGATCCTCATCCTGCGAAGCCTCGAGGATTTCCTGCAGTTCAGCCTGAGGGCTGTTCGGATAATGTAGCCAGGACACCTAAGATCATTGCAGTTCATGGGCGTTCCCTTCTCTGGTCAGAAACCTGTCCACTGGGCACATAACTTATGTTGTTCTCTGTGAAGAACTAAAAGTATGAGCGTTAGGACACTATTTTAATTATTTTTAATTTATTGATATTTAAATATGTGATATTGAGTTAATTTATATAAGTGATAGATATTTATATTTTTATGAAGTACCACTTGAAATATTTTATGTATTTGTTTTGAAAAAGTAACATAAAATGGTTACACGGCTTGTGGTTGACTCAGAGCTGATCATTTCTTTGAATGTGTAGGCTTACCTCAAATAAATTGCTAACTTATACGTATTTTTAAAAGAAATATTTATATTGTATTTATATAATGTTTAAGTTGTTTTTATATCAATAAACGCCTTTTTAAAAAAAATTAGCAACTAAGCGTCCGTGTGTATCCTGTGTAGTTTCATATAAACGAGTTTCCAACACCATCACCACCACCAAAAAACGAGCTGCGATCACTTGGACAAAGATATAACTGAGCACCTACTGCATGCCAGGCACCAAGCTAAATGTGTTGCATCCATCACATTTCATCCTGGAGCTTACACACTTTTTACTGGATGTAGGAGAGTACGTGATTCCCTAAGTCACCCAGCCGGAAGGTAAGGTACCTTCCAGATTTGAAGTCCAGGTCTACCTGCCTCTAGAGCCCCTACTCTTCTTAACTTTTACGTCCCATTGCCTCCCAGGGAACTGAGAGATGATGTAGAAAATCCCAAGACAATACAAGGAATACACCTAAAGATGCAATCAAAACCACCTGTAGAAGACATAGCAATGTGCAAGCTTCCAAAAAATAACTAGTTCTCCCCCTCCTAGGTTCCTCAAACACCGCACACGCCTGTCTGTCACAACACAGACCACGTTGCATCACATCTTAAAATTGATGGATTTTTCTTTCCAGCTAACATGTAGGTCCCTCAAGAAGGCAGACTCTGTTGTATTCATCTTTGCGACCTGAGCCCACAGCCCAGAACCTGAACATAGGAGGCCCCAGTAAACGATTGCTGAATGAAGAAACCATACGTAGATGATCAAACCTAAGACCCCTCAGTTCTTATGGACATACACTGTTGGTCAAAGAGTAGGGGGAAAAACACTGTGCACTTCTGTATCTTTATTCTACAGAAAAAATAGCAAGATTTAGGAAGAAACATTCTAAGAACTTCTACAGGAGGCAGTGAGGAGTCAGTACATGTATATCCGCCTCCACTTCCTTTCCCACCAGCACTGTTCTTCATCTGCCCTCTCCCCTCAACCTGGTTGAGACTGGTGGTGAGAGAGGCAGTCTGGGTAACTGCACATGGCCCCTCCATCCCACTGCAACACTACACTGGGAATTCGGTAAAGATTCCCCTTTACACCCCCAGCCATACAAAAGTTCTGTCTTCTAATAACGCTCTCCCCACCCTAACCACCACAGACGTCTTCCTTTAGGGAGGAGTTCTGTTGAGCATGGGAAAGTCCACAGCGGTCAAGAACTGACAGGAGTCAAGCAAGAGATGAGCCACCATACATCACAAACCATCTTCCCAAAATCAGCCAGATCAAAGAATGAAGAGAAATAGCAGTCAACCAACACATCCATTCTTCAAACAAAAATGTGTTGAGCACCATGTAAGTCAGGTAGTGCTGGGGATGCAAAGGTTAACAAGCTAAACATGTTTGTTCATGTGGTTTACACTGTGGCATGGAAGACAGGTGCAGAACAAAGAATGTAAGTGTGATTAGGCACCAATAGCAGGCGGACTGAACTGAACCTGGGGAGGGCAGTCATGGAGGCTTAATTGAGGAAGAGAGGTTTGGGCTGAGTTATAAAATATATGTTGGAGTTCACCAGGTCAAGATGGGTGGGAAGAGTATTCCAGCCAGAGGGAACAGCACGTGCAAAAGTTTGAATCAACAAAGAGCACTCTATGGTTGAGGCAGTGAAATGTACATTATGTCCAGTGCATAAAGAAGGAGAAGGGTAGTTGAGAGTGGGTGCAGAGGGAGGCTGGGGCCAGATCTCTGACAGCATCAGAAGCCACATCAATATAAAGCTATGTTAATATAAAAATATAATTTACAAAAGCCATATAAATTTGGGATTTATCCCATTTGTGGTGAGAAGACATTGACAGATTTTAAGCAGTAGAATGACATATGTGATTTACATTTTGATATGATCACTCAGGTTGCAGTGTGGGGAATGGATGGGCAAGAGGCTGGAAGAGAATGTTGGAGGAACAATCCAGAGGCCTTCGTTGTACTGCAGGGAGGAGATGAATTAGGATGGTGATAATGGTGAGAAAAGAGAAGGCAGTAGCAGTCATCAGCAAAAGACACCTAGGAGCTACAATCTGGTGATTGCTGACCAAGACTCAGGAATTCTAGAGGACACACGTTTTGAGAGGGGGAAGAAGCAGGAGTTGAATGGAGGGGTAAATCACAGAGAATTTGGATTTGAGAGTTTTCATTTATTCAAATATTCTCTGCACATCTGCAATGTGCCAGATTCTCTGTTGGGCCCTGGGGATCTAATGGTGAATAAAACAGACTAGGTCTCTGCTCTCAGGGAGTTTACAATCTAGGGAAAACAATTTAAAGAAATATTTACTATGCTGTAAGCTAAGTATGTGGGCTACTGTTATGAGTTGAATTGTGCCCCCTAAAAAGACCCGTTGAAATCCTAACCTTTGGTACCTGTGAATGTGACCTTACTTGGACATAAGATCTTTGCAGATGTAATCAAGATAATCAACAGGTCATTTGGGGGGGTCTAATAAGAATAAAAAAGACAGAAAGAGACACACAGCGGGGAAGTCCACATGAAGAGGGAGGCAGATATTGGGGAGATGCATCTACAAATCAAGGATCACCAAGGGACAACCACCAGAAGGTAGGAAGAGGCAGGAAAAGATCCTCCCCTAGAGTCTTCAGGAAGAGCACAGCCTTGCTCATAACTTGATTTCAGGTATCTAGGCTCCAGACCTGTGAGAGAATACATTCCTGTGGTTTTAAGCCACACAGTTTGTGGTAATTATTTATAGCAGCCCTAGGAAACAAAGACAGCTACTATGCCAGCACACAGTGGAAGGATTGAATCTAAAGTTCAAGAGAGGCTGCCCAAAAGAAATTACAATCATGCTTATATTAAAAGAAGGTATAGGATTCAGCCAGTTGGACAGGCAGGAAAGGTGTTGCAAGTGGTGAGCACAGCATGTGCAAAGGCTCAGGGGTAGGAGAGAACATGTTGGAGGAACTGAAGGAACCTAAATAGCTGAAGAACCAAGAGGGAAGTAGTAAAACTGAAGATGAAGCAGTAGGGTCTAAGTTATGAAAGAGCAGAAATGATGGGTTAAATAAAAACACTAGTATAATAGAAAGATGAAGAGCAACTTTCTTAGAGTTTTTGATTTGGGATTTTTGTTGGTTTGTTTGGTTTGGTTTTTTAAATGTTGAGGGATTTTCAGCCTTTTCTGGTGGTGTGGGGTAAGGAGGTTTGGATCCAGGCTAACATAGAGAAGGTCTAGAAGAGATCTAGCTTTCTGTAGTGGGTTCCAGCAACAGGGCAGATGACACGAAGGAGGTGAGAGGCAAAAAGGAGAAGATGATGAGGAGTACTCACAAGGTATGACTTAAGAACTTCAAACACTGCGGTGTCTAGTATCCAATTTTCATTCATCTTTGCCCTTACTCTTAAAACTTCCATGAGTTTCATTCATCAACATAAAATAAATTTATGGCAGCCTTGTGCTAGCCCAGCTCTGAAGAATAAAGGGAGGTTCATGTTCACCTTTTTGAGCAAAATGGACAATGGAAGGTTGAAAAACGCAGGAAGAATCAAAGAAGAGATTAAGGAGAAACCAGAGGTCAAGGCAAGAAGTGACAGGCAACAATCAGGACTCATAAGACCCTACCAAAAAAATAAAGAATAATAATTTTTACAAAGACACTCAAGAATACTCAGGAAAGTTTGGTAGAACTTTGACTTTCCTGTAGTCAGCTTGGGATAAGGGTACTGGTTATAATAATTTGGAAGCTAGAGGGAAGGATGATCTCCAAAGGCTAGGGGCTTGTGGACACACAGGTTATACTATGAAAATGGCCTTAGAATCTATAAGAGAGAAAGCTGATAGGAAGACTGCAGTCCAGACCCCACCCTAATAAAATTCTGAGTTTCCAGTGGGTTAAGAATAGAAAGGAAGAGATAAACCGACCCATATGAATAGAATAATAAGACTAAGAATAAACTGATAATAATGGTGATAATACATGATCTGATATTGAGCACTTACTGTGTACCAAGCACAATTCAATGTATGTATTATTTTAGAGGCACATGTATTAACCAAAGGAACAGAGAGTCTACGCAACTTGTGCAAAGTCATAGTGTGTAAATTCCACAGCAGACTGCTAGTTATCCTTTCAAATCCCTCCACCTCATCCACAGTAATGGTGTTTGAATTAGCCATGTGGCTACCATCTGGAGGCTACATTTCCCATTCTCCTATGCAAATAGGTGTGGCTACGCTGAAAAAAGAACATAGCAAGCCCAAGGCTTTAGAATAAAGTTTTTAGAGAAGTCTGCTTACAAGCATATCCCTTGGCTGGCATCTGGGAACTTGACTGGTAAACATTTCCCTACACTGATATAAACCTTCCTCCAAACGATCAGAGTCCCTAAACTGTTTGTACAAACCATACGGTTTGTACAAGCCACCTGTTTCCTTCAGAAAATCTGAAATTTTAATACGTACTAAGCAGAGGGTACCACAATAAAAACTTTGGGCACTGAGTTGCAATGAACGTCCCTGGTAGACACAGGCCACAACTCACTGCTGGAAGAACTGAGCGTATTCCATGCAACTCCACTGGAAGAGGATAATCAGAAGCTCATGCTTAATTTCTCTGAAATTCACCCCTTGTTTCTTTTCCCTTTGCTGAATTTGCTTTGTATCCTTTTGCTACAATAAATCATAGCCATGAGTATGAGTTCTATGACTAATATACACTGAGAGTCCTGGGAGCCCTCCTAGTAAATCACTGAACCTGAGGGTGGTGTTTGGAACCCCCAACACAGTGGCTGAGTTTTCACCAATAAAACGTGAGTAAAATTGATGTTGTAATTTTACTTTCGCTTGCCTAAAAAGATATTACTTGCCCTCCATTGTCTTTCACCTTTCTGTGTTTTAGGCGTGGGGGGGGGGGAATGCTGTAGTGAATCAGCTTTAATCATGCAGAACAGAGCAATATGTCCATAGCTGCAATATCCAATATGGTACACAGTAGTCACTTGTATGAATTTATTTTTAAATTGAAATTCATTTGAAGTATATAAAATTTAAAAGTTCCCCAATTTCACACATGCTAGTGGCTATCATATTGGGCAGTGC